GGCTGCTTGCACAGCTCAGGGAAACCCGCGCAGCAACCAGCCCCTTCGGCCAGCATCTGCAGCTTTCACACAGGGAGAGGTGGGGGTATTCCCCCCCGCCCCGGGTTTTGTTGGTAGTTTTTTATCCTTTTAATGAATCAGTCCCTGGGTGAAAATAATGCATTGTTTAAAGCTGATATTTAATGTCGAGCAAACTGCTCTTCCTTTGTCTCTTACTATTTTGTTCATATTTTGCTAAGAGTCTGCTATTCTACACAAGCATTTTAATAAACTGTTTGTTGTTGTATCCAGGTAACAAGCATGGTAAGTATTTTAACTAAACCAAGTATTATGTACCTTAGCTGTGCTTGGCAGAATTTTTGGCTAGCTTTTCCTGTACTTCCAGCCTGTGCTGTTTCTAAAGGAGCTATTCAAAGGAAGGAACTGCTCACCTATAGTACTACTACATATGAGCTTTAGAGGGAGCATATGTGCAAAGTCATATATTGTATATAAGAGCATGCATCTCTTGCCAGCATGCTTGCTACTCTGCTTGTAAAATAAACCCAGAAAAAACCAAACCAAACCAACAAAACAATCCCTGCCTAATACTGCTTGTGTTCCTTCATTCCAAGTCACGTACCTAAATATTAGCACTTATTAATACAGTACTTCTGGATGAGGAACCCCACTTTACCAGATAGTAACACTCTGTTGTTTACTTATTTTACCTAAAAGTCCACTTTGTTAACTGTTGCATTAAGAGGCTTTCCTTTCCTGTTCTGTGATCATACGTGATTGGCAGTGACTAGGACCCCAAGCGCTGCTCTAATACAAGTAATCGATAACAACCCATCTTTTCCTAAACTTGTTCCTATATGCTTGAAAACAGCAGAAATTTTATAGCTGATTGTTTTCTTTGGGAACACTGTAAATCAGCAAAATACCACAATTGGATTTTTAAAATGCTATTTACATTTTTTGTCATCTAAATTGTAAAATACTCGTCGTAAAACAGAATCCAAAATGTTTTTAAACCTGTAAGCATGAAGAAAAGTCTGTTGTCGTCTGCAAGTCAGTCGCAGTTCTGTGTTCCCATTTTACAGTGTCATACAAAAGGCAAACTTCTCTTACATCCAAATGATAGAGCTCGAATCTCAGTGCTCCCTGTCCTGCAGGCAGAGCCTTAGCAGCAGACGGTGTTTAGTCCAGCCTGACTTAAAATCAGCAGAATTTGCCCAGATAAACACGTGGCCAGCAGTTTGCTCTCCCAGAGCTTCCTACGTGTTGGCAGAGCAGACTGTGAGAATTCAGGTCTACCGTGCATGTCTGAGAGGAGGTTTTGCCTTGAGGTAGTTTGAGTGTTAGCCTTTGTGCTGTATTTTTTTTTTTTTTTGCATGGTTTGCTATTTTTGCATTTTCTGTGTGGCTTTTTAAGTTTTTAGTTACGTGCTTGTAGCTGCAGTTATTTAACATCATTTGTTGTGCCAAATGTTTTAAGACTCCATGTAATTGTCATATTAAAGGATCAGACAGCAAAGGACAAAGCACTCCAGCACATGGCAGCAATGTCATCAGCTCAGATAGTCTCAGCTACTGCTATTCACAACAAGCTGGGCCTGCCAGGAATTCCCCGTCCTACATTTCCTGGGGCACCTGGGGTAAGTTGTTAGCCAAGTCCCAAAAAAATCCCTGTACTCTAACAATGTTCAGTAGAAAACTAAGGCTGAATGAATGGATTAATGCTTTCACTTGTGTTTGCAAAAGGAATCATGCTTGTTCAGAAATACCCAAAATCTTTCAACAAAGAAAACAATTGTGGGTCTGTTTGTTTGTTTTTCCTCTTTCAGTTTTGGCCGGGCATGATTCAAACGGGGCAGCCTGGATCCTCGCAAGAGTAAGTCTGAAAATTCCAATATGCTTCTATATGCAGTGGGGGGCTGGCTTGTACAGTTTGGGTATCAGCGGGTATCAGTGAGGCAAGAACTTGCAATTTTTTCTGAAAAGGAGGAAATGATAGTGGTAGGGGAAGGAATAGCCTTTACAGTGATGCAAACTCACATTCTGAAAGTGATAAGGGACCCCAGATCTCAAAACTGAGGCTGCATACCTAATGGGCACACTCCTCCCGTTGCATGGTGAGATGCCGTGATGATGCCAGGGAAGCAGCTGGGAAGGTTTTGCCTGTGAATCAGTTTCCAGCATACATACTTCCATCCTCTTCTGAATATATAAGCAGGACTGGGGGCAAGGGGGAGGTATTTTCCTGCAGGGCAGGACGTGACTGGGTGAAGGCCCGTTAGTGGTCAGTGGGGTTACAGCCCTTGGGCACCAAGGTAGCAACAGCACCATACGGAGAAGGAAACCTTCGCCCCTCTGTCAGGTGTTTTCAGCCCTGCAGTGATCTCCGGAGCAATGTTGCCCAGATTTGAGAGTCTTTGTGCCCTGTCATTCAGTATCCTCTGGGTTTATTGGAATCAAAGCAGTCACCATCCATGTCTTCAGTGACACTTGCGACGGGCGCGTCGGGTTTCCTGCTGTGTGGCTGAGCACAGATGAGCTCCTCGCTTTAAGATATTGGGTGTAGTTCTCACACACCCCCTCCGTTACCTCTCTGCTGTCTGTCTGTCAAATATGCTGTGCAAGGAAGAGACACGTTTGTGTGTAAAGGTCATTAACCGTGTATTTTCTCATACTTGAGTGGAATTTACTGTGGATGGCATGGGGTATGATTTTTGTGTCACTCTTTAGTAAGGCCATCCGTCCAGCAGGCCTATCCTATACAGCCATCAGTCACAGCTCCCATTTCAGGTAATTCTCCCATTTATACTCTCCTTTACAAAGATGTTTGTGTACTGAATGTGATGTATTAATTCCTGAGATGGACAGAGCCACTACTCCATAGGTAACGTTGCCTGTAGACAAACAAAACACCAGTCCTAATGTTCTGTGAGCTGATTATATGTGAGGGAAAATCATTGGGGTTTGTATTGTGGTTTTTTTTTGTTTGTTTGGTTGGTTTTTTTGGGGGGTGGTGGTGAGGGGGTGGATGTTACATTTTTAGGTAGGAATCACTAGGGCATATGCAAGGAGTTGTGTTATGTGACCTCCAGTCAGCATTCCATATTGTAGGACAATGTTTTGTAAAAAATGAGTAGTGGGATGTGTGTTTCTTTTTTAATAGCTAAATCTAACTTCCATCTGTAAGAAGAGTAAGCCTTAATTTATTTTAAACTGAGGCTAAAATCTCTTCCAAACCCATATATGTTTAGGCTGTGTGTCTGGTTGTTGGTAACTCTTCCCCCTCCGGAAGGTCCCACTCAGCCTGGTACCACTTTGATAAGTACCTAATGTTTATTCTGACTTCCATTGCTGAAGTTCATCAATCCCTTTCCATGGGTACTTCTCAATTCCTTTTCCCAAGTTGTTTTCATTGCCAATAATCATAAGTTGATCATTTCTTTGCAGATGATAACTGATTTTATGTCCCCCTTGCCAAATGACACCATGCTTCTGACTGTTTGAACTGCAGTTTTCTGACTCTTACCCATTTTTTATGATTTTTCTAACTTGCTGCTATTTAATGATTAAAACTAAGGCTATCTTTCTGCATCCCTGATGATTTCCTTTTTTTTGATATTCCTAATTTATAACATTGTTTTCTAAGGCAGACATTTTGAATCATCTGCTTTTATTCTTCCATATTTTCTCTCAGAATAGGATTATTTGTATTTCTAAACCAGTCAAAACTCATGCGTGAGTCTGCGTCATTATAACTCCTGGTCAAGACTAAACAGCCACGTTTGTCATTCCCTGTTTCACACAAGCCTCGCGCCTTTGTTGCCTAAATTTGAGGGTTGGAATTGGGTACCATGCTCTCATGACGGACATGGACACACGCCAGCTGTCACCTCTCCCTGGTTCTCAGCCTAGTTCAGGATTATCTTTGTTTTCTAACCTTTGGTGCCTCTCCCCTGCCTTCCTTGTGCCTACGTCTCTCCCAAGATCAGTTTTGCCTTTCAGCTGCTGCTTTTCCCTTCTTCCTTTACTGTTTTGTTTCCTTCTCATCTAATTTTCCACGATGACGAGCAAGAGATAACATTTATTCCTTCTCTAGAGGTGAATTAGAGATGGTGGTTAACATCTCTCTCTAGATCATGTCATTCCGTCTTTATTATCAATTTAAAACCTTCTTTTTCTTTTTAGGGTATGATTCAGCTCTCTATAGTAATTATTTATTATTATCTGTAATATAATGCTGCCTAAAAGCTCCAAAAGAAGTCAAAGACTCAATGTGCAAATACATAGTAAGAGACAGTCCCTGCCTTGGAAACCTTATACTCTAAATAGGAGGGGGGATTGAGAGTGGCAGAGAAATAGGCAAAAAGAGAGGTGATTTACTTGTAACATGTGGCACATTAGGAGCCAGAAATGGAGGCCAGTTCTCTTGATTCCCAAGGCAGTAGTATCTCCTGCGAGTCTTGCTGCCAGTTTTTGAGGAAGGGTCAGCTGTAAGTCTACGTGGAGTCTCTATAGTCCAGTACATAATTTAAACAGAATTTCTACAGAAAGTTACAGCCCCAAGGAAACAAAGCAGTAGAACTTTTATTTGCACCATTATTAACTTGCTGGGTTGGGACCTCTTTTTCTACATATTGCTCTGTGGTTTTCCAATTTTAACTCATTCTGAATTCATTATTTCCTAAAATTAATATTAAGATTCAAGGATTACATGCATAATTCCCAATTATATTTAATTCAGAAAACATAAACTGAGGAATTGTCAACTTCTTCATGAGAATCTTTTCTTTATTTTAGGATTTGAACCTACATCAGCTCCAGCTCCCTCAGTCCCTGCGTGGCAGGGCCGATCGATTGGTACGACCAAGCTCCGGCTGGTGGAGTTTTCGGCTTTCCTTGAACAGCAGAGGGATCCCGAATCAGTAAGTGTTGCCCTCCCTGTCTGCTAATCTTCAGCTTTTCTCCCTTGCTCCCCATCCGCTGAGGATGCTTTCCAGGGTTAAACCTGATGTTTGGTTTAACACTTGGTGTCTCTGCATTTGCTCCTTTCACTGTGGTACTGTATTTTCCTTTCTTGCCCTTTTTTTCCTCATTTGTGAAGTGAGAGGCCTCTCTGAAAGCAGGCGTGGTTTGCTATGGCGCCTCTCTCACTGTTGACCTAGTTTAGCAGTTGTACCAAATTGCATCGTGTTTTTGGCAATAACTCAGCAGTTAAACTGTAAGGTAAAGCCCAATCTGTTTCCTAACAGAAACAAAATTAAGGACTTGCATAGAAACTATGCATCTTATTTTAAATATCTGACATTTGACAGACATAGCTGAGCATCAGGATTGCCCTTTTTGATTCCAGCCTCCCAAGCACGTACCATTTAACTGTATCACTTATTTTTTAATTGAGATTAGCTGTCTAACTGTGCAGTCATTCAGTCTTCCTTGATCTTTCATTGTGTCCTAGGGTCCAATCCAAGGTTTGGATTTATATTTTTTTTTTTTAGGAATTTTTTGGTTTTGTTTTGATTTTTAGTCTGCATACTCTACCCGCAAGGGTAGTTTATGTTGTCATCTGTAACGTTTCATTTATTCCAGTAGGCCTTGAACTTTGATTTTAATCATGTGTTTACCAAGAACATTTGTTACTAGCCTAGCACTGTTTCTGCTGTATCACAAATAAATCAAAAGAGGTTATTTTCAGCTCAAACCTGAGAAATTTTACTGAGATAATTTATGAAAAGCAAATACTGTCATGAATGGGTGATACAGGCGGGCCATTCTTGTTCAGATTCCTGGTGAAATACAGTATCTTGGAGCAGGGAGAAGCTATCACTTGCTCTTTATAATTCAGCACTGGAAACCATAGCATTTATGGGCTCTGGCCAGGGGTGTTATCCAGGGAGTGTTTACCCTGCATAATGGAGATTGGAGACATAGCCCAGAAACCTTACAACAGAGGAACGCTCCTGGCTTAGAAACATCCCAATGAAAATACACCCTATCTCAGCTATTCATATACTAAACATGTGGCAGTGTGTTGGTTTGCTAAATGTCAGGTTTTGCCAGGTGGAATTAACTTGGAGGGAGGAAATGTTTGCCAGCAGGTACAGTTATCTCAGCACTTACCTGACGGTTAGATTCTGCGTGGTTTCCCTGGAATCCTTGTGCCTTCCCATGGCCCTGATTCCCACACTCTCCCAGCAATCCTGCCTCTGATGGGCTAAAGCTTCATCATAGTGTCCTCCAGACTAGTCCGCAGCTTGAACTCCTTCCCCATCCCCAGCCCCTGGTTCATCCAGACATCGGTTCGTATTTCTGATGCAGAAATGCAACGTCCAGCTTTTCTCATCGGGCAGGCTTATTGATAACGCAGCTTTCGGAGTCCTTGGCTCGCTGACCCCGTGTAATGTGTCCTGCTGATTTATGGGCTCTGCCATCTCCAGATTGCTGCACACCAGGATCTTATGTGCATGCCTCGAGGTTATCGGGAAAACAGGATGTGGCCATGTAACGCGCAGCGTTACTGTGCTCTAAGTGAATGAAATGGCATTTCAGTGTATTTTGATATACTGTTTTGCTAGTATAGCACCTAATTATCCTTTTTCCATAGGTTTTTATAACACAAAGCTATTTGCAAAACCCACGGGGTTATATGGTGTAGAGCCTCTGTGTATCTGTGTGGCTTTACGTAAGAGAGAGTGAATGAGACTTAGCAACCGAGTAACTTCGGTGTCTTTCCCTCTAAGAAAAATCTCCCTCAGACCAAGTACGCTCTTACCAGATAACATGTGGCTGCCTGTCACACCGCTGGTGCCTGCGACATGAAACCAGCTGAGTGACATGAATGTATTTGCAACGTGACTGATGGACCGGAAGTGAGGAGATGCTGCTTTGGCAGGGGAAGGTGCCACAGGTCACGCTCTGCCATGGTGGCACAGCTTGGGGCCGGTCGTGCTCACACACGGTGTGTGGGCCAGCAGCTTAGGGATGTGTTGGGGCTCTCATTTTTCAGGCAGGTGCAGGCTCTGGGGAATGCAACACATCCAATTGCTTTGTAGAAAGAGGCCTGAATACAAACACAGTTACCCAGGACGGTCTCGTAAATACTGTAAAGCCTGGGTTTGAAGTAAACTAATATTATTTGGAATTCCTGAGGGTGCAGCGAGGCCCACCGGAGCTTGTCCCAGCTTGCAGGCATATTGCTGAGAAACCCACTTTTTAAATGCAGAGCATTTATGCAGGAGGTTTGCGAGAGAAGAACATCGAACTACCCAGACTTGTTTCTAAAAAAAGTTACCTGTGTGCTGTAGCGTTGCAAAAATTAGACACGAAGCAAAGTCGGTTGCCAGTCAGGCTTTAATCCCAGTTCGGATCATTCTTTACACCCACGCTGCAAGCGCAGTGGGGCAGTGCCGTGCCAGGCCTGTGTGGGGACTGCCAGCACCGGCCGGGCGGGCTGTGGGGGGCCGAGGGACGAGCTCCACAGGCAGCGTGTCACCACCACTGCCCGGGGAAGGGGAGTCGGGAAGGAGAAGCGTCGTTTAGATCAAATTAAGTCAATTTGGCTATTTGGATCTTAAACAAGGGTACAGAAGAAAACGCTAAGGCAGCAGGACCAGCTCCCAGGGCAGATGCCAAGGGCACTGCCTGGAGAGGCTCTGAGGGGCCCTGCCTCCTGCCAGCCTTCCCCGCCTCCGATGCGCAGACCTTTCCAGCAAGCACCCAAAGTCCTCCTTGGAGGTGAGAGCCTACCCTCAGGCTCATTTAGTGCTGTTGAAGAAAACATGAATTCTGCCTGTGTTTTTTTACATCGTTCTTCACGCTGGTACGACATTTTATTGCAGATGCTGTTTGTGCGGCATAGAAAGGATGGGGGTTTATTACTTTTTAAATAACAAAGTCAGCAAAGCAGGCAAGATGTGTGTTTTGCACAACGTGCGTATGAAATGGTGTAGGCATGTGCTGTGCTTGCAGCATCTCCTTGTACGCCTTTGTGCCTTTGCTGACTTCAGAAACGAATATATGTACGTGCTGCTCCCTGACAGCCACGTAGGATTTCTCGTGAATCTCCTGAAAAAAGATAGTTCCACGATCATTACACTTTTTACAGAAATAGCATAAAGTATTATTTTGATCAAATGTGTTTCCAACATTTTATTTTAAAAAAGATGACCCTTCCCCCCTCTCTCCCGAACCCAAAACCAAGCCAGAAAGCCTCATAGTAGTGTGGGCAAATAGACTGATTCCACCTTAAAATGTAACCTGGAGGTTTATTGAAAAGGGCTTATTTGACCTGGTATCTGGGGCCAGGACTTGACGATCCTGGGAGGCCCCTTGCAGTCTGTATTCCTGTACAGCAATTAGAAATTTAGGTCTGTCTGCCCGTGGTGACTCCCAGTGACTTCAGAGGGGCTGTGCCCGGCACAAAGGTCCACCCACGGGGAATTCATTGTAGGAGTGGGGCCTTAAGCATTTCTGGGGTTCTTCCAATGGCAATTGGCTTTTAAAAGTACAAAAGCCCCTCAATGTCAGGCAGTTATGTTAATTCAGAGTGGGCATTCTGGTGGGTCGGAAATGTGCTCCATAGAGTCCCGTCACTTGTGGAGCGTTGTTGACTTTTTTCCCTTGCCTAGCCACAAAATTGTTCCATTTACAAAAGAAAAAAATTATAGAAAGGAAACAATAAGCAACCCTCACTGTAACTCTGCATGGCAGAAGATAGTCTGGGAAACATAAGACGGCACAGTTGCAAAATCTTGGAATACTGACTCTGCAGTTAAGGGTGGGTAAAATTGCTCCTCCTTCCACATAAAAATCAATTCAGTTTACAAATGTCAAGCTGTATTTTCCTTCTGTGGCATTTTGCGCTCAAGTACGATTCCTAAATGGTGCACAGAAGCTGCCCTTGTCGGTCCAAGCACCAGTGTTTTAGTTACTTTTAATTATTGCCTACCTTATATAATGATATTCTCAGCAGATCAACGAGCTGATGTACCCATCTGTTGCTTTCAAGACAGGTTTTCCCTAATGGAGGCTTTCCGTTTTTACTGGAGTGGTTCTGTGAAAGTTCAGGACAAATGCTTAAACCAAGTAATCCCCTGTTCCCTAACAATTATAAACTGAGTATGCAAGCAGATTAGAAGGGATCTAAACAACTGATTGTTACACAAGCAGGTATAAAATTTAAAGACTATAACACTGAAATAATAATTCCCATTATTTTATTACATATAGATATCGTCAAGCTTGCTTTCCAATCAGGAAAAAAACCCCGCTACCACCCAACAAAAAAGGGCCTTTCTTCTCTCCCTGTTTGAGGTTTCTTACTCTTGCTGCCACGTTCATTCTGACGGTGAGCACTGCAGAGAGCTTTAGATCTCAAACATGTATGTAGAGCTATAAGGAACATGGCTGATGGGCGTTTTCAGTATTAATTCACCTATCCAAACTGTCAGATTGCGTTAGGTCCAAATTTCAAAATGTATTTTAAAAAGTGGTGAGGAAATAAAATATTCTTTGTTTTAATTCAGGTTTTATTGTTGTTGTAAAAGGGCTTTGTGAGCCCAGGGAGAATTGTGCCTGAGAACCAGAAAGTGAAAGAAATCGCTCAAGGCCCATAAAACCAGCCTGCCGTCATTAGCCAAACGCAGTAAAATTCACCAAAGTTAATCAAACCACCTAAGTGATGAAAAATGAAAGAGTTCTTTTCAAAGGAAGCCCTCCATCTTTGACCAATATCCATTGTTATGAGCACTGTTTATCCTTCCATATCCCCTGTAAGCGCTATAAAAAGGAGTTCAGCATTTTAGTCCGAAGGAAGTTCTTGGTCTGGCATCTTTGTGATGTGAAAGGACGAGGAAGCAAACCCACATTGGGATGAATGTCTTGGCATGGCAGAGTCAGGATTGGAGGTCATTTTAATCTAAAATCA